ATTGTGAGCAGGAGCTGGCTACCTCAGTGCCCAGCTGGATGGAACCTTGCCAGGTCAACTGGTGCCCTGTTTACACTAAGTATGTGACCCTGCTGGCAGAGGCAAAGGGTGCAGCCCCTGTGAGATCATCTTCCAGCTGTCCCAGCACTGGCTCTTCCAGTCTTGCCTCACTCTCCAGGCTCCCTTCTCTTAAACTGCTTTTGCTCACTGCCAGTCTTGGAGCCTCTGCTCCCTGTCTTACTTCAAGCAGTTAAAACCCAGTGGTGTGAACTCCACCTGAGCAAATGCCCATCAAGAGAGGTTTAGGTCAAGGAGATCCTACTCTGGAGTTGGTTTGCAAGCTCGGATTTCTTATCTCTTCAGCTCACCCATGATTTTTGCAAAGAATTGTTTCACTTATGCTTCCTGTTCTTTCTCCTCCTTAAACTCTTCTCTGCTCGCTCCTCCATCCAGTTTTGTACTCCTGTCTGGGCTGGCACCACCTGGCAGGGATTAATCTTTCTGCCTGTCTTGCTCCCCTTCCTTTATCTTGACCTTCTCTTCCCTTCATATTTTACTGCAAAGGCTGGCAGCCCTCCAGGTGTGGCATGCCAGATGGTATTTTTCTTCTGATTAGAGGTGGGATGCCATAGACAACAGCTCATCAGCATCTTTTCTCTGCATGAAGCAATAACTCTCCTGTGAAGTTTAGAGGGCAGCAGGAGCTGGGAGCCCTCCCCACTGCATGTGGGAGGGGCTGCAGCTTGTGCCCTCAGTCAGGCTTGCTGCTGGCTTTGAAACCTGCCATGAGCTCGCTGGGCCTCCAGCTGCTGCCCTCACCCCTTCCTGGGATGGATGTTGCACAGATCTTGCAATGCAAGGATGTGGTGGTGGGAGAGTGGCAGCAGGGCAAGATGGGCATGTGGAGGATAACCTGATATTTTAGGCTGGGAAGCAAGGTCTCTGGTAAGCAAGAGGGGTATTATTCAGGAGGCTAAACTGTTTCTGAGCCCTCTGGGATGTCCTTTAAAAGCCTGGTTTTCTGCACAGGAAGATAAGAGGGATTTCACTTTCAACTGAGCATTGGTCTCTCCCTGTTTAATGAGACTTTCTGCATAGGCATTTAGAAAACCATCTTTCTGCTCTGATATAGGACTACTGCAACTTTCTTGGGTTCCTATTGAGCTCTCTCATGCAACCTCATGCCTGTTTTCTGTGCTTTGGAATGTGCTCTAAGGACAAATATGGGCTGTTGCTAGGGCCAGCTTTCCTAAATGACTCAACTAGGAGGCTGTGGGTTTCTTGGCTCTGGGGTATGGCTCTGCAGGTGCCTGTCATCCAAGGAACAAGGTGCTATCTGGTGTGCTGTGTGGTTTTGACAACTGGCACAGCTTTTGTGGTCTAAATCTCTTCTGATCAGCCTAAACCTTAGTGCAGTGAGCCAGACTTCTTCCTGGTGTTAGGATTCACCAATCCACCTTATGTAAAATAGGACAAATACCATTTGGAGATAGGCTCTCTGCCCAAGGATGCTAATTAAGCATAAATGAAGCTTTTGATCTGTGACTCTACTTGTAATCTTTTTTTGCATGTCATGGCAATTAGGGGATACCACATCCTCATGGTGGAGTGGCATTTGGAGCTTGCTTTCTGTTCTCCAAAGCTACAGTTCTGTGTGCTTGTTCTCAGCTTATCTAGATGGTGCAAGATAGAGTATCTTTGGGAGTGCTTTCCTCTAAAGCTATGCTGAGCTGCAGCCCGGGGTGCTCAGGCTCCTGGGGCATGTGAGGAACAGGCATCACTGCTGTTGGACCATATGCTGGAGTCCCTGCTGAGGGATCCTGGCCCTTTGCAGGGAGGCTGTACCTCCTTCACCAGGGGAAGCAGCGTGAGGAGCTGAGTGAGCTTGGCTGCTCTCCATTGCCTTCAGTGGGCTCTTGCTGACTTGTCTCACTGAGGGCCTGGCTCATCATTAAATACAAACCCCTGCTGTTCAGCTAGCTCTCTTTCTTGGGGACCATCTGTGCCAAACTGCCTGAAGTTAATTGCATCAGTACATTCACCTACCTCACTGGGATGCAAAACTGTTTTAAAAATGAAATTGCACAGGCAAACATGAAGTGCTTTGAATGTCTCTAGACGAGCTTATCCTCCTCTGTAGTGGACTCTGGAGAGATTAGCTGGGTGACAAATACCCTCCTACCTTGACTGTGGTGATACTGGGTTCCACTTGCCCTTCCTAGCCAAAGAAATCCTATAAAAGGATTATAGGATATGGGGACAGGACACAGCAAAGGATGAGGCTTACTAGTCTGGGAGACTTAATTATATATTTTGTTGCTGTGCCCAGAATTTGGATGTCTCTATAGCAAGCTGAACACTGCAGCTTTCTCTGAGCCTCAACAGATAATCTGGTTCAGCTTGTCTACTCAGGACCACTGTTTAAGACTCCTGCACATTCTGAAAAGTGGCTCTTTAAAAGGAAGCATGTTCCTTTTGGGCTAGGTTCCTTTGCTGTAATGGTGTCCATGGTAGATGTGGGCAGAAATGGATGCACTCCTTAAATTTGGCAGGTATAACTCTCCAAAGTGGCAGGTAGCCTGCTATGTTTCCTCTTCTGCAAGTTCCTTGCTGTGTTTAGTTGAAACCCCGTGGATGGAGCACAGCAACAGCTCCTCTTGGCTGTTCCTTCATCTCCTATCACCATTCCACATGGGATGTGATCCAGGGATGCACTGAGGCTAAGCAGAAGGGGGGCTTGTGCACTTCCTATGAGGACCTTAAAGGTCATGTCATCTTCAGGCTAATGCTAAACCAGCAGTCAGTAGAGAACTAATCTGCTGCCAGAGTGATGCCTCTCTCATCACAGCCTGGGTCACAAGGCAGTTCAGTGTGAGCAGCTTACAGCACCATTGCCTGTGGCTGTTGGTGAGGGTGGGACTGTATCTGTCACCACAGCCTCAAGGTTTGGTTTCTTTGTGTGCCCCAACCTGCCTGAACAGCATAAATTGAGCTGAAATGGCTGGAGATGGTGAGTGGGGAGCAAGACATGTGGGCTAGAGAGTGGAAAGCTGGCTCAGCATTCATGAGACCATGCTAAGAATAACCTTGTCCAACCTGTGAGCTGGGTGCCACTGTTACTTTCCAAGGCTGCTCAGATGCAGCAGTAACAGCTGGCTCTTGAGGTACCTGTTCCAACCCACAAGTCCATAGAAGCCCTTCAGCTTCAGTCCTCGTGCACTGCCCTTGCTGCATCCAAGCTCATCAGGAAAACAATTTCTCAATGCTACCCACTCCTTGCAGCTCAATAAATGTCACCTTGATTTGGAGAATGTTTACTTGTTCTCTCCTCCATCTCAAATAGATCACAAATAATATTCTGGCTCTTGCTGCTCTTGTATGTGTTTTGAAGATAACTAGAAAATGTTGTCTCAGTTTTTCTGATGCATCTATCCTATTTTATGTACCTCTTGTCTCCCCAAATCCACAATGGCTCTGTGTGTAAGCCTTAAGGCTGGTTTCTGTTCAGTCACCTAGGCTTGCTTCAAGCTTTTGTTGCTGGGGGTGAGCTGGTTACACAGTTCAGCTGTTGTGGAGGGGGCTTAGAGCTTTTATAAAAGCAGGAGATGTTCTGCCTGTTGTATGGTGTCAGGAACAGTCAATAGCTCTGTGAAAAGGGGCAACTTAAACTCAGCTGCTCTAGAGGGAGAGCTTATCCATGTAGCTCTTGAATGTGAAGTGTTCCTGGTTAATTGAGCTGGCTCTCAACAGGCTGCTGGCAAAATCCTGATCACTAGGGTGGAGGGGTAATCCAGGGGTTGGAAAGGCAGCATCAGGTGCCTGTGGCCTAGGACAGCACAGTGCCCTCTCCACTACCCTGGTATGTCCCCACCTAAAGCAGCAGGGGCTGTGGAGAAGCCCCTGGGTGGTGCTGAAACAAGGCTGGCACTGGCCTTGATCAGCAAATCCAGTGTCCTGCAGTCATGGGGCACCTCAGCTGTGGGCTTCACTGCATGTGATTAGTCTTCTGGGATAAAGGCTGTTCCAGAGCAGTGCCAGTGCAGAGCTGTAGACTTCCTGACCTTCACAGGGTAGTGATACTTGTGTTTGGGTATGAACTGTTCTTATTGTGTTTTGCTGAGCTGCATACTCAAGTTTCCCTCCCAAGGAAACCATAGCTTAACCATTTTCAGTGCAAAGAGCTCTCCTAGTCCTCCTCAGTCTGTACCTATTTCCCCTGCATCTTGGTTTTTCTTGTACCCAGTCATCTAAGCTGTGTCACACTTCAGAAGTGAAGGCAGTTGTTACATTTTGTCAAAAAATACATCAGAACTTGTAGCCATTTACATGACTTCTATAAAACACCCTTCAAACTCTACTTACATTTTTCTTCTGAGCTGTCACAGTACAAGGAGCCTTTTTGGTTTTGGATGTGAAGAGTATTTTGTATTTTTACTGGAAATAAAGTCTTACTGGGATTACTATTTGGACCCTGACTATATGGATTAAGACTTGCCTCATTAAATCTCTGCAACCCCATTAAAAATTTAAATGAGGTTGCAGGGGTGTAAATAAGACAGGCACTTATCAGGCTAGTTAACCATGCTGGGCT